AAAAAAAAAAAAAAAAAAAAAAGCCATGAATCTATGTGCAGTATTCCCCTAGCGCTGGAGTTCTCCCGTTCTCCTTGATCGATCAACTTGGTCTTGGCTTGCTGGCTGTTTGTGCGGATCTTCTGGGGGAGGGGCCTGTTGCTGTGGTTTCCAAATGTCTTTGCCGGAGGCGGAATTGCCCCGCCCTTGTCGGTCCGGGCTAAGGAAGCTGCTCCGGTTTGCTCTCAGGAGCTTTTGTTCCCTGCAAGCTCTCCGTACAGCCTTGGAGGACCAGGGCAGAAATGGTGGCCTCCCAATCTCTACCCGGAGGAGCCGAGAACTCGGGGCCCCGCTCCTCAGTGTGCCCCCAGAGAAAAGCAGTCACTTCCGTGTCCCCGGTCTCCGGCCGCGCCCCGTGCTCACCCGGCCTGTGACTGAGCGTTTCTATCTCTGGTACCCGACCCCACGCAGAGTCTCCAAACTCAGCAGATCCCTGCAGTGCGTTCCCGCACCGCTCCTCCCCGGGAAGGAAGGGGAGTCTCCCCGGATCTGCCGCTTGTTGGGTCCCTGCTGGAGGAGCCGTGCCCCGACTGGGCCGCGGGTCACAGTCTATGGCCACCCCGAGCTGAGAGCCCGTGACTCTGCTCCGTCTCTGCAGCCGGCTTCCCCGCTCCGATACCTGGGAGCTCTGGCGCACTCAGGCACCCCCGGTCTCTCTGTGACCCCGAGGGTCCTGAGACCACACTGTCCTGTGAGGATTCCACCCCCCGCTTAGCCACTGCAGCGACGTCCCTCCACGGAGCCAACTTCTAAAAGGTCCGATTTTGTGCTCCGCGGCTCTAGCACTTGCCAGAAGCGGCCGGCGGAGGCCCCTCCCCCGCCGTCTATCCTCCCGAATATCGCCTCGGATTCACTTCTCCGCACGTCCTACCTTCCAGAAAGTGGTCACTTTTCTGTTCAGAGAGTTGTTGCTACTCTCTTCTTCGGTCTCCTGTTGAGTTCGTAGGTGTTCAGAATGGTTTGATCCCTATTCAGCTGAATTCCTGAGACCAGACGAAATCTAGGTCTCCTACTCCTCCGCCATCTTGCTCCGCCTCTCAAGGATGATTAATTCTGCTGACAGGACCACACAGGTCCCTGCTCTGGGGAGTCTGCCGGACAGGAGAAGACACAGCAGCTGAGCCGGCCGCATCAGGGAACACAAGACCAAAAAAAGTATTTTTCTTTAGTGCTACCTACTGAATCCTGGTCATTTCTTTTCTTTTTTAAAAAATTTTTTTGCTCAGTTCAAGACATTAAGATTATTTAATATGGTGTTCCTAGTATGTGATCCTATCATCTGTAATTTTACCTCTTCCCAATTCTTTTTTTTTTACTCTTGATGAAAATCCAATATATTTATTTTTTAAATAATTTTTATTGTTATGTTAATCACCATACATCATTAGTTTTTGATGTGTTCCATTATTCATTGTGCATAACACCCAGTGCTCCACGCAGAATGTGCCCTCTTTAATACCCATCACCAGGCTAACCCATCCCCCCAGCCTTCCCAATTCTTTTTAAAAAAGTATGTGCAAGTTTAATGTTGACAATGTGATGATTTTATTTTATTATTTTTTTAAATGCAGAGTTTTTCACAAACTTAGATTTTTTTTTTTTTTTTAAGATTTCATTTATTTGTCAGAGAGAACAAGCAGGGGAAGCAGCAGGCAGAGGGAGAAGCAGGCTCCCCACCGAGCAAGAAACCCATTGCGGGACTTGATCCTGGTACTCTGGGATCATGACCAGAGCTGAAGGCAGATGCTTAACCGACTGAGCCACCCAGCCATCCCTACAATGTGATGATTTTAAACATATATATATTATGAAATGATTACCACCATAAGGTTAACACCTCCATCCTCTCATATAATTACCTTTTTTATTTTTGTGGTGATAATGCTTAAGATCTAATCTCTTAACAACTTTCAAGTATATAATACACAGTATTGTTAACTATAGTCACCATACTGTACATTAAGTTCTCTAGAAATTACTCATCTTTTGTATTCTTTGACCGATATCTCTACATTTCTTCCACCCTCCTAACCCCTTGGCAATTACCATTCTACTCTCTCTTTCAATGAATTTGGTTTTTTAGATTTCACATGTAAGGGAGATCATACAATATTTCTTTCTCTGACTTTCACTTAGCATATGCCCTCAAGGTTCATCCGTTGCCACAAAAGGTATGATGTACTTCATTTTAAAGGCTGAATAATATTCCATTGCATATATATGCACATGTTCTTCATTCATTCATCCATCAGTGGACACTTAGATTACTTCCATGTCTTGGCTGTTGTGAAGAATGCTACAATGAGTATGGGACTGCAGATATTTCTTCGATATCCTCATTTCCTCTGGATATCTCTATACTGCTGTTTTACTTGATTAGAAACAGTCATAATTCTGGAAGCAGAATCAAAATGACACATACCTAACTAGACACAGCGCTTCTCAATTATTCATTAATACCACTTACATAGTGATCTAATTTCACAGTCGTCGTGGAACACACAAAATCATGATAAATAAGAGTTCGTACAGTTTCCTTGATCTCATCCATTTTACAAAACCACAATCCCATGGACCTTACATGACATAACTCCTCTAAGCCCATCTCATAATTCCACACAAGAATACCAAATCAATCTTAGAAACCACTTACTGAATCGTCACACTGAGTCTCAAACCCAAGTCACTAACTAATCATTCTGCAAGGTTTATCAACTTCTTATAAAGATAAATATAAACTGACCTATTACCCAACATTTTTTTCTTCTAGGTATTTCCCCAGGAGAAATGGAAACATGTCAGCTTTATTCGTAACATATAAAACCTGGAAATACAACAAATGTTCACCAAGAGAAAAATGAATGAACAAATTGTGGCATATTCACACAATTGAATGCTGTCCATAAATAAAAATGAACTACACAACATTAATAAAGCTTACAAAACTAGGATGTGCAAAAGGAGACATATGTGATTGCAGAACTGACAAAACTAAATTACGGCGACGTATCCCAGAACTATGGCGGTCTGTTGTGAGACTGGAAAAGGACACCAGAGAACTTCCTGGCAGTGATTGTATAAAACCCGCACCAGGGCAGGCATACACATACTGAGCGTGTGCTCAGTGCCAGATGACATTCTAGGTGCTGGGGCTTTCTCAAGGGGCAAAACTGACAAAACTTGTCACTCTCTGGTTCACGACCACGGACCTGGGGTCCCGCACATACAGGCCTGAGCGAAGAGAAGCCGCGACAGGCACCGGCTCCCAGTTCTCGCCTCAGCCACTTCCGCCCAACCTGCGGTACCCGCTTCAGCCCGTCTTGGCCCGATCGCCCTCAGCACGGATTTCCGATTCCCTCCTTGGTCCTCCTCCACCAGGTTCCCGATTCCCTCTTTTCTCCTCAGCGCTCTGGGTTTAGGGATTCCGGTTCTCAGCCGGTCCTCCCCGACGCAGACTTCTTCCGTCTTCCTCCTCGCCCCGCCTCCGGCAGGCTTCCGCTTCCCTTTTCCTTCTTTCCCCCACCCAGGTTTCCAATTACTTCCTCGGCTGGGGCTCTAATTCAACCCAGAGGAACCCTCGCTCCCAAAAAATCATCACCTGGCTCTTCGGCGTCTGAAGAACCGCCAGCGGCGACCCTCCTCCGCCAAGGAGGAGCGACCCGCCCACCCTGGAACTCCCAGGAGTCTCCGGGGCGTGGCGCGGGCTTTGCGACCGCTGTCCTCCCCTTTGCGCTCGAAAACCTGGACGTTTTCAGTGTTGGACTACGTTTCCCACAGGCCCCAGGGCTACGAATGAACTTCGACTTTCGGTTCCCCTTCCGGTATCGTCGTGGTTATTGGGGCATGCCTGGTGAGTTGAGGTGACCCCGGTCGGGTTGCGGGAGGGGCTCGCGGTGTGGAGGCCCTAAGCCCCGGGGGCGCGGGGTGGGGCAGGTGGAGCCAAGGGGCTCGTCCCAGTGTTTGCGTGAACCCCGGACGACGTTGGTTTCCGGTGCTTTGTGACGAGTTCATTGTGGGGTGTTAATGCACGCGCGCGCATGCGTGTGAGTGAGCGTGTGTGACGGGCCCTGGAGTGCCCATACTGGTATACTGTTGGGCTAGTGGGACTATCAGTACATTGTCTGCGTTGGTGTGGGTTTCTAATACTGTGACCGAGTAATCTCTGACAGCTCGGTTGTACTGACTGTAAGTTTGAACTAAGTGGGTGTGGGACAGAGGGAACGTTGGTGAACTGAGTGTTGCCCACCCAGGATCCACTCTTAAGTTCCATGGTTCCTTGGAACGTGTTTCCCTGAATTCTCCTCTTTTCTTACACCCTAGGGCCAGTTTGATCTAGCTATAGAGAAATAGACATCAGAGGGGAAGTCATTGATGTCAGGCCTAGAATGAAAGTTCCAAGCAGGAAAGTACACCTCAGTCATGGGATGAGAATTTAGGCTTGCACTTGACTTCAAGACAGACTTCTGGGAATACATGAGGGGAGGGTCACAGGGTAAAGGATTTCTTGTTGGGCGAACCTCTTTTGGATACACTCTGGAGGGCATTTACGTGTTTCAGAACCACACGTGTGCCCCCTAGAGACTGCTGTGAACTTACTTAGATGCCAGCGCTGGTTAGAGGTGATGCTGACCTTTTTCTCTGATACTGGTAAAAGTCAGCAGTATCCTAGTTACCTCTTACTTCCACCTGGATGTATTTGTGATGGGTAATGGGTTATGTCTGATGGTGGACAGTGTGTTCTTATTTAGCCTGTCCAGAGTCTCAAGAGTTTCTTCTTGGTCCTGTAGTTCTGCAAGAGAAGCCCCCTGAAGTGGAGGAGAGCGTTGCCACTTAAAAGCCCATTCAAGGTCAGTTCATGTTTACTTTTTGTTCTGTCATGTATATTTGTTTTACACAACATTGAATATTTGCTGTCGTTCTAAATTGTAAGACCTAATTGTGAGCTGTCCATTTATCTGGTCCCCAGGTTGCCCCTTCCCAATTAATAACAGGACCATAGGGATGGGTCCCTGTCTCTTCCAGTGCCTTTCCAAATACCCTTTTTCTTCCCAGTTAATATTCACATTACTATTGGTAATTATTCAGTTTCCCCATGTGCTCTTTTCTTTCCAAAGGATGGTACAGAAATAGAACTAGTTGAACTCTTCAAGGATAAACTAAGAACTTATTTTAGAATGTGTTTTGTCAAGGAAGAGACTAGTGGTTAGGTAGAATAAAACACCAGATACCTTTAATCTTATTCAGAGACTTGATTTTCAAACAAAGCAAGATAGGAAATGGTTTGATTGGTTTCAGTCAGTAAGACATTTTAGGAGTAGGAATATGATTGGAGTTTTGTGAAGAGAGGTCTTTGTGAGCAAGGGCAGGGAGTTTTTCCTGAAGAGTCCATGAGGAGATTTGAATGGTGACTAAGTCTTGAGATTTGGCAGTATGACTCTCTTTCAGACCACACAGTGGTACAGACTGTGAGAGGCACCATGATATAATGGTAATTGAGTCTAAAGCAGCACCTTCTGATGGAAATACAATGTAAGTCACTTGTGTAACTTATTTTTTTTATTTTTTATTTATTTTATCCTTAAAATGAGGCCTTTATTTTTTTTTTAATTTTTTTTATTAATACACAATGTATTATTTGTTTCAGGGGTACAGGTCTGATTCATCAGTCTTACACAATTCACAGTGCTCACCATAGTGCATCACTCAGCCACCCCATCCTTCCCATCCCCCTCCACTCCCGCAACCCTCAGTTTGTTTCCTGAAATTAATAGTCTGTTATGGTTTGTCTCCATCTCTGGTTTCGTTTGTTTCATTTTTTTCCTCCCTTCCCTTATGATCCTCTGTCTTGTTTCTCAAAATCCTCATATCAGTGAGATCACATGATACTTACCTTTCTCTTATAGACTTATTTTGCTTAGCATAATACCCTCTGGCTCCATCCACGTCGTTGAAAATGGCAAGATTTCATTTTTTATGGCTACATAATATTCCATATCTTCTTTATCCATTCATCTGTTGATGGACATCTAGGCTCTTTCCATAGTTTGGCTATTGTGGACATTGCTGCTATAAACATTGGGGTGCATATGCCCCTTCAGATCACTACATTTGTATCTTTGGGGTAAATACCCAGTAGTGCAATTGCTGGGTTGTAGGGTACCTCTATTTTCAACTTTTTGAGGAACCTCCATACTGTTTTCCACAGTTAGCCACTTGCATAATTTAAAAATTTCTTTTGTACACATTTTAAAAAGTTAAAAGAAACAGTCGAAATTAAGCTGGATAATACAATTTTATTTTAATTTAATTTTTTTTATTTTAACCAATATATCTGAAATATCATTTCAACATGTAATAATATAAATAAGTTGAAATATTTTATTTAATTTTTTTATGATTTTATTTATTTATTCGACAGATAGATAGAGCACAAGTAGGCAGACTGGCAGGCAGAGGGAGAGGGAGAAGCAGGCTCTCCACTGAGCAGGGAGCCGGACGTGGGGCTTGATCCCAGGACCCCAGGATCATGACCTGAGCCAAAGACAGCCGCTTAACCGACTGAGCCACCCAGGCGCCCCAGGTTGAAATATTTTAAATTCCTATTTCATACTGTGTTTCTAGATCTGCTACATATTTTACTGTTATAGCACTTCTCAGTTTGAATGCTAAATTTTCAGTGGTTATGGTGAAATGTAGTTATACCAAAAGAATAAAGTTGTGTTTAACTGAAAAACATTTTATATTGCTTTTGTATTTGAATTAAAAATTAAAATAAAATTGAAAATTCAGTTCCTTGTTCAGTCTAGCCACATTTCAAGGAGGTCAGTAGTTATTAATCTTTACATTTTATAATCTTTTGTTGTAAAATGTAGATAACGATCATATTAATGCCTTACAGTTTTTATAAGGATTGTATACATTAATCTGGGCACAGCCCTAGAGCACTTAATAACAGCCTTCCATTTAACAAATCCTCAAGAAACAAAACTGTTGTTATGTGAAGATTCAAGAAACAAAACTGTTGTTATGTGAAGATTCAAGAAACAAAACTGTTGTTATGTGAAGATTCTAAGTATTCACCATAAATTTTCTATAAATCAAGAACAATGAAAATATAAAATTAATTTTGATGAGCATTTAAAAGGAATCTTTGAAAATCAGATTTGCTAACATCCTAGAATAGAACTTCTTAACCTAGGGATGCCTGGGTGGCTCAGTCGGTTAAGGGAATGATGCTTTTGGCCCAGGTCATGATCCCCAGGAGCGTGGGGCTCCCTGCTCAGCGGGGAGTCTGCTTCTCCCTTTTCCTCTGCCTCTCCCCCCAGCTCCTGTTCACTCTCTCTCTCAAAAATAAATTGGAAAAACAAACAAACAACCCAGCAAACTTCTTAACCTAAGGCAAATTGACTCCATTTTAGTTCTCACAGGGACCACAAATCTCTTGAAATTCTATTCAAAATCATTCTATATAATGCCTAACATTTTTTATTTTTTTGGGTTATTTTGTTTGCAGAGTATCTTTAATTTCATGGGGTTATATGAAACAAATATGAAAGCTTAAAAACTAATCACATTACATAAATGTGATGTAATACCATACAGGTAAGAGCAACTATGTAGTCTTAGAAAAGGAAAATGACATTAATATTATATAATATATTTACATAAGAAAAAGAATACTCCAAATTGTTAGTATTGTATATGAATCAGTTTTACTAAAATTGCATTTGTAAGCAATCTTGTAAGAATATATCTGAAATATTACTTATTGAATAATAAAGGAATGAAGGCATGTATAATAAGCACATACTCTGTACAAAACACATTTCTGCTTCATTTACACGTTTTATTTAGTTTTTTTAACAAAATTCAGGAAAATTGAACCAAAATTCAAGTAAATTTGAAGATCTAATTGGCTTTATTTTCTGATTTCATGAATCAGGTAGCGCCCCATCTAACAAATAGTGGGAGCTCCACTGAGCTAAACAAAGGGAAGGTTTTAAAAGGCAGAAGAGGGCATTAAAAAATAGATTTATTAGCAAGGAATGCATTGTTTAAGCAGAGTTAACCTCCTAAAGGGAGCTGAAGGGGTCTATCAGTAAATTTCCTCCTATTGACAGAAAATTCCATGTTAAAAGTTTACATTCCTTGGGGTTGCAACTGCTGTTAGGTTAGGTATTAAGTCTTGGCTTACTGACTTGGGGCCTTAACCTAATTGATACTATTTTGGGTCTGTGGTTTTCTTTTTGACTACTCCCCTCCTTTGATCAGCTTAACTGAGAGATCAAAATTTAAAGCATTAACACAACTCAGCTACTACTCTTTAGTTCTTGGAGCTTTTATGGATTCTTTGTGCGGCATTCACAGGTCATGACTTTTGGCTTTATCTCTGTGATATTCACAGGTTACAAAGTTTTTAAGTCAGTCATCCTTTTTTTCCTTTCTGACATTCCAGTCTTAGATCATTTGACTAGTGGTTAGTGGCTGCAAACATGCACTTAATGCTTTTGAGAGAATATAAAGCACCAGGGAGATTATTATGATGACTGTAAACAGGATAATTTCCAAAGTTTGGAGTGCACTTTGAAACCATGGTCCCCAAGACCCAAACAAATCAAACTCAAATAAGTCAAAGACTCCTGTGGAAGGCATCATCTTTTTAAGTCAAGTGGCTTTTTTGTGATTTTATGTAATTGATTTTCTACTTCCCCAGGAGTATTAATCTAGGTGTAGCAGGTAGTGTTGTACATAGCACAGATACCTCCTTGCTCAGCTAAAAGATAATTAAAAGTAATGCTATTATCAAGAACAACTTTGTCCAGGGCAACCCTCTTGGGTCCCCTCCCTCTTTGGGAGCTTTGTACTATCACCTTGCTATTGCTCAATAAACCTTACTTTGCTGTCCACCCCCCGAACCACCCCCCCCAAAAAAGAACAACTTTGTCCTGAGAGTCTAAAGGTCTTTGTTGGGCAGTTACTGCTTTAGCAGCAGGTTCTGCAAAAATTTCAAGAACTAAGAAGTTAGCTTCATTTACATTGATCCCTAATCACTAAGGATAGGGACCTGTGAAAACAAGTGAATCTTGAGTCATGAATGCCTCCTTGTAAATCCTTTATAACTTGATGATGTAAATTCAGATGTCAACCAATGAGATGTCTTATTTTGCTTATGAAAAGTTAGGGGCACAGTTAGATTTTTCTCCTCTCCTGAAATAAAAGGTTCTAAATTCCAAAGGTTACTCCCTACCCCTTAGTAATAGCCTAAGAGATAAAGATGAGGGTGTTATCTTTCTAGGCCAATGCCAAAGGAAAGAAAATGAATAGAAGGAGAAAGGGTTTCATGTGTAGTTAAAGTACGAAGTTTTGATCCATAATCTTGGGTGAAAGCAGTATATCTTGATGTCAGGTACTTCTCTTCCTTGTTAATTTGATTTATAAATCTCCAGCATCTGTATGAGATCAGGTGTCATGTGGAACCTTCTTTGGTTGTGTGATATGTACCCAAGGCTCAATAACCTAGTTTTGCAGCAGTGTCAGTGGTGAGGAGCCCTTGGTAAGTAAGGCCCTCTTTACAACTGGCTTAAGGGCTGTCTTTTTCTGATGATTGTTGCAGAATATCCAGTTACCAGGCTCTATACTGACCAACCACACCCTTTGAACTGGGATCCAGGAAGGCTTCTTTACCTATTGATGATAAACTTGAGCATAAGACATTAGAGACTTAGAGTAGCTGGTCATACTAGCATGAAACAATAAAGCATCAGCAGAAGGTTATATAATGCTGGAATTTCAAGAAGTTTGTAAGGTCTTTGTTAAGGCTCATAGGATTTGTCCAATGAAGTGGATGCCCCGATCACTGCAGATCGTGGAATGTATACAAATGGGAAACACACTTGTTAAAAATATTTTTCTTTGCTACTTTGACGCCTTGTAACATGTGAAGGCTTTAAGAGAAAACATGTACAATAACAATCCATACTGACTGGCAGCTGAATGAATAATTGCAAGTGTTCAGAGGGTCCAGAGGGAGGGGATCCAGGCCCCTGGGGACGAGAATAGTTTTTCCAGGATTATGGACCTGACAGATCAGGCACTGGCAGATTGTTTTTGCAATTTTGCAGATGTCTCCCCACCAGTGTCTTACTTATAAAGAGTCATCCTAAATGCACTATGGTAGGTAAAGGAAAGCAAAAGACAAAATAGAGGGTTTGTCAAGGAGTGGGGAAAAACCAAGCAGCTGTTTTGGGTTTCCCATACCACTAACTGTTCCTTTAATTTACAGCCATTGTTTACCCATCTTGATTGCTTTGATTTCGGAGGAAACTGCTGCTGTGTTACAAGTACATCAGGATGGCAACAGTGTGGCAGTGAGGGGCCATTTTTGCAAAAGCAGAATTGACTTTATCCGTATGTGTCATCATCTTTATGATTGTGCTGCTGCTATCTTTGATGAAAGCCAGCTTGATCACATATTAAAATTTCTTTCCAAAGATTGTTTTCTGACAAATCTTCTACTTTCTTTTTTACAT